GTGCAGGGCCAGGGGCCGCGCTTGCGTGCCCGCTTGCCCGCCGCGGGCCCCCTGTTGTGATATTGCGCCCCCCGCGGCCCTTCGGGCCAGTCATTGCGCGCCTTGCAGGCAGCCTCCTAGCCTTTCTTGCCTCTTGAGCGAGCGATTGGGGCGCGGGCCGCAGCCCCGTTCGCCTGCGCCGTCGCGCCAAACCTCCCATAGGGTGAGTGGATGCTGGGTGGCACGTCACGCGAGCGTCGCGCGCGCGCTTCGACCGCCCCGTCCGCAGTCGCATGTACATGCCGTTATTGTGTGCGCGAGCGAGTGCTAGCTCGTCAGCCGTTGCTGTTTTGTTTGATTTTGTGTTTTCTAAGAGTCAGTCAGGGGAAATTCATGTCGCTTCAGAGGGCTGTCTGCATTGTTCAGTCACTGGGAGATTGTGTGGCGCCCTGGCTGTGTAAAGATGTGTTCGCGGTAGCGCTCCCTACTCTGCGATGCGCCGACCTTTTTGCCGGGGGTGATGCAAAGCCTGCAAGTTCATGCCGTGTGCAGCCCGTCTGCTGCACCTGGGATGTCGCTTGCTTGTGGTGGCTTCGCATCCAGTCCAGGAGGGGCCATCTGCTGAACACGGCCGAGGTCACGGTTTTGCAGCATACACAGGCTGCCAATGCCGGCCGGTCGCACGTCTGCAGCGTGCGCGCGGCCGGCCACGCCTAGACGTGCGGCTGGCACGACCAAGGTTGCGTCAAGAGCCTGGGCTCACCCAGGCGGCCTACTTGACGCGCGCTGACACGCATGTCATACTTATTCCGGCGGTATATGGCATAGACGCGGGGTGCACCCCCTTGTATTATGTACTTGCTCACCGGGTGACAATATCGATCTCGCATTGGTGTCGCTACGGATTTCTCAGCCAACTAATTTGCGCCTGCTCGTTATGAGTAAACGTTAGCGATGACGCCGTCGCATCAGGTCGCAGCCTCAGCAATTTAGTGAGGATGGGCACGCCGAGGGCAGGCGCTCACGGCGGGGCGCTGCCTCGCTGCATCTTCATCTGTTGGCTTCTAGTGGTCAGCGGTGTCGGTGCAGCCAGTGGGCCGCTGTCCTCCACGGTGAAGCAGGGCCCCGGGCATGCGTCCTGCACGGGCTCTGGGCCCGGGTGCCCGCCACGTGATACTGTAAACGAAGTCACAGAAGACGCTTTGCCAGCTGCCAGCTTGTTTCAGAACATCAGATCGAGCCAGTGGGCCACCGTAATCGATACACTAGTCAATTTCGGGGAAGAATCTCAAATAACAGCGTTCGTGGACGCAATCCAGGCCCAAGACGACAAGGTGAGGCCTCCAGGGAGCACCACAGCGGCTGTGGCGAAGCGCGCTTGACGCCACGCTCCCGTCACCCGCCCGACCTGGTACGCTGCGCCCATAAATCGCCGCCCCGGCCCCCATTCCGCCCACGTGCAGGGCTTCACGGTCACGCACCTCCTGTCGTGTGCCGGCAAGGCGCAGCTGCTGGCGCACCTGCTGCATGTGGCCTCCAGGATTACGGGGCCGGGCGCCGATGCCATCCGAGAGTGAGAACCGGCAGCGGCGGCCGCGCAGCGCCCGAGCGCGAGCGCCAGTGAGGACGGCGCGGCGCCGCGCGCAACGGGGATTTAGTGCCGGCGTTCCCCCTGCACGCAGATGCGCCTGCCCGGCGCGCCCCCTCCTGCAGCCGCGCGCCCGCCGCCTGGCGCGCCCAGGAGCGCCGCCCCCACCCCCGCCCCCGCGCAGGGTGGCCCTCGAGACCGCGAGCAACCCGCTGCCGCCCAAGAGGGAGCGCCCCCTGGCCTACATAGACGGAGAGGGCGTCTTCATGCACGGCCACCTCGAGCTGCACGACCCCCACGGCTGGGTGCAGCTTTTTGCCGGCACGACGCCGATAGAGTGCGCGGCGGCGCAGGGGCACTTCAATACAATCAAGCTGCTCATACAGGTGCGCGCTCGCGCTCGCGCCCGCCAGGGGCCGGGGGCAGTGTCGCGCGCTCGGCGCAAGCCGGTCTGGGCCGCCGCCGCCGCCGGGATGAGGGCGGGGCGGGGCGGGGCCGGCTGCTCATGCCTGGCTGCGTGTGCGGCGCCGGCGCCTCATAGCGGGGCCCCGTCCCCTCCCAAAGCCGGGCCTCCCTCGCCCGGCCGACCCTCTGCCCCCTGGCGCTGCTGCCCCCCCCCAAAAAACTCAAAAAACCGCAGAGCGGCGCCCAGCCGGCCCGCGCGTTCGAATACGCCCGGGCCTTCTCGTACGAGAACCAGCTCTTCGACGCCGTGCGCGCCGCGCACGCCGAGGGCTGCTGGGCGACGCCGCACGTGTTCCTGCCCACGGAGGCCTCCCTCGCGTCGGTCCACCGACGCGTCATCCCCGCCAATCCCTTGAACAAGCCGCGCGCCCGCGCCGCGCCGAGCGTCGGCGCGGCGCTGCGGAACGCGATTGGCAGCGGCTTCGGCTGGCACTCGCTCGGGCCGCTCGACGGCGGCGGCGGCGGCGGCGGCTTTGGCGCGGCGCTTGGG